CCCTGATCTGCTGAAATACAGCCGAACCGCAATGCGATCAACCACAACGGCCAGGTGTTGGGCCGTCGTCGCTCTTCTTCGATGGCACTACGAACCGTCCACGCGGCAATGTCACCTCTTCGTTTTCCATGGATTCCAGGTTTGGTTAACCGTTATACAATGTTAATTAAAAGGATAAAGCATTTGCCGTTGATCAATCCCTTTTTGGGATGCGGCACGCATTCTACTTCCATTTGTACATTCGCAGTGGCGTTTGAATGCGATGTGGCCTATACAATGACTTGCGGGGGCCAGCCGATGTACAAGTCAGTGTTTTTATCCTCCCAGACAAGTCTGGTACCAATTAACCGACCCCGGAGGGATGAAGAGGCTTGGTTGGCCTGGGCGAGTCCCGACCCAGGATTTGGGATACTGGACCACTCGCTAGTAAGCGTGGTCATGCCGCACCTACAACCCCTTCCGCCTATCGCCATTCAAGCGCCACCACGAATGTACAAATGGAAGCCGCATCCCAAAAGAGTTTGATCCACGGCAAATGCTTTACCCTTTTACCCTCACAATGTTAATTAGCGAACACTTCCAATTTTTCGAAAAGAAATCAAGCAATTTTCAGGGTAATCAGAACAATTTTGAAAGCCTCGAAGAGTGCGAATCTACCTGCAGAGATGTGAACCCTTGTGAGGAAGGAATCCCTGTGCCGTCAATCGGAGACAACCTGAGGTGGCAATTGCATCACTTTTTCAGATATCATCCACCGCTGACCATTATTTGTTTTAGAAACGAATGAGACCAAAAGCATGAATTTGTGACTTGATAGCGCTTATGGGGATGAAACTTATTTTTTGGCACTTGGTCTGAGGCCATCACGCCCCGCTCAAAGTGTGAGGCGCAACGAGACCCTTCCGAACACGCGCTTCGACCCCTGTCTATCTCTTGGGTTTGTTCACAGACTTGTTGCGTCGAGAGCATCTCATCAGTCGGGTTCCAACCAGGGTCAACCGTCCGTTGGACAAAGTCCAACGCGACGACGAGAGTAATGCCGAGAGTGAACGTACGCACGGAGACACAGACGGCTCGCGGGTGGCGAGAGTGAATGCCGGCGCGGAGAGCGGTCAACATCGGTCCAACGTAACGGTTGACCCTGCTCGCAGCGCGTACTCTCTCCTCGCGCGCTTAGTGGGCCATTGTCTTTGCGCGGCCGGATCAAAAAGAATGGTGGTGGACGTCTGCTTTCATGTTTCTTTGCTAAAATGACCGAAATTTGATCATGAAGTGTCCTTTAGCACCCGGAGAGTACTACCAACACCTCTTCATAAACGCCTATAAAATCAGTGGAGAAAACCTTCAACAAAGAATCCGTGGAGCCATACGTTCCCTTTATGTGCTTCTCCTTCTTTTCAGTTGCTCTCCATCCTTGCCGTTATCGTGTCCAACTGGAAGCTTTTGCAAACTTCGTGGAAGTCAGGGATTCTGCTGTCCAGAGCCGACGAAAACGATAAAGCATCCGGTTTCCGATTCTGTAAGGCCAGGTGAAGATTTTCTGTCTTACCATTTAGTATACTATCACTTGATGTGTTCTGTAATCTCAATCAGCCCTGTCCTTCCAAATATGGCGCATCATTACGCTATGTTTTTGGTAGAGGCATCGTGCAAACTGCAGAGCTAATCTCTCATTTAAAAGCACAAAGGAAATCAAAATTTGAAGTTGATTCGTGGCTTAAAGTTTACTTCTGGTTCTTTTTAGTTTTCATTTCTGTTTTCCTCTACAGAATATCCCAGTTCAGGTTTCCTGAACTCCTTATTTTTTCTCCTATTCTCCGGTCAATCACCCGTGGATGAACTTTCATGGTGGATCTTTCACTATAACTATGGCATGCCTTCAGAATGTTTGCTGCCTCAAGAAGCCGGTTACGGTCTTGAAAGCAGTCACCGATGGTCGTTTGACGCGACAACGTCATTGTGCGTCTCGTTCATCTATAATGGTTACGGTGGAAATCAAAACAACTTTCTTTCAAGAAACGACTGTGAAACGGCATGTACGGCTTCTCTTCCTACTTTTTTCATTTTTTTCTTCGTTTTCTTTCTTTCGTTTTCTATAGGTTGGCTATGTATGTTATTGCCTAGGTTTTGGTTGGTTGCGTACCATTTTGATTTTTCGTGCGGGATATCTAAATTTTGGATACTTTCTCTTTCCGTTTCCTTGGGTCATTTTCTGGCAATTCATTAAATTGTTGGATTTCCTTCTTCCGTCTTTCCACCATAGAAACTTGAACTTTCAAATGCCTCAATAACCTCGTACTACAATGTATTAGGTTGTTCGGAAAGTAATGCGGGTTTTCAACCTCTATTTTTGAAGAAGCATATCTCCACTCAAATTCAACATTTTCGATCGTAACAAAAACTATTCAAAACTACATATTTTTCTTAACAAGATGCACACTCAACTGTCCCGCCCATGTGACAATGAGCGCTTCTGTAGGCGATGAAATCATCGAACGTCGTTTCCAGATCACTTTGAACACTGAAGTATTTCTTGCTCAAGAAGCTGTCGGGATGGTTGGAAAAAGTGTTATTGGTGAGCGAGAGGTCCAATGAGTACGACGTGTTGAGCAAAGCTTCGTATGCCAGTTTGTCCAATCTTTGCGAGGTCGTTTATGGGACATGTGGCTGAGCGCCACCATGAAGGAGGGTTGTTTCATTTCTCTCGGTTGACGAAGTTGGTGTTTCTAGAGCATCTCATCGGTATGCTGGAGAGACATTGGTGTTGTGTCAAATTCACCTGGTTCCCAAGAGGTGTGGTGCATCAGTCCCGTGGGAGACCGCCGAATGTTCAGCTCAACATTGACCTACTACAATTTCGGCTTTAGATAACTTTTTGAAGATTCATCGCGGTCCAGCTTGTGAAGGGATGGCTTGCTATATTCGTGAACAGTCCATTTTTCCATTTTAGATTGCAATGCTTTCCTAATATTCGTGGTTTTCGTTACGTAAAATGGGTGGAAACGACACCTTAGGAATACGGTTTTGCTGCTGCATCGGGTAGCCAATGCGGTAGCCATCTGTTCAGCTTTTTCACCTCCCCAATTATCTTCATGAGACACAATCTTTTCAATATACTTACTCCCAGTCCTACTGCTAACTATAGTGCAGTTGGTCCGAAACCATCTTCTACGGGAACCTTTAGAAGGCCGTCGTTAACAGCGGAATCATGCTCATGACTCCCCTCACCTTCACGATGGAATTCATGAGACCAAAATGTTGGAGCCGATGTTGTGCTGTGCTTTTATTAGGTGCTTCCTCGGACCCCATCCTTCAGTGTTATTTCGACTGGTCTACGAAGCACTACCTCAGAGTTTCAGCACATCGAAGTAAACTTGCCAAAATCGCTGTCTTGACACCTTTATTTCAAATCTATAAAAACCCCGAAATAGCAAGCCATATTGAAACTCAAATACACTGAAGGAAAGAAGATACAATAGGCTTGCCAATGATATATAGGGCTTCAGGTCTCGAATGAAATATCAGTATAAAAATATTTCATGAATGCATGGCATCTCGAAACCCGCATTACTTTCCGAACAACCTAATATTACGGTCAATCGTCGCTTTGTTTAGTTGAAGCGATGGAGAAGGAGGCATGATGGGGCAGGGAGAGAAGTCGAATTTCCTGCGCTGGAGTATAGGTCGTATTTGGCCATGGGTAACCGGCCCTTATGGTCATATTCGTGGCAGCAGAGTGGGGGTGATTGTGGGAGAGAGGGGTCGCTTCCTTCA